GGGCTCTCTGGTGTCTCAAGCCAGTTCTTAACCATCGCGCCACTCGGCCGGCCCTGTATCAAGTGTTTTGATGTATTATCTCAACCCTCCAGCAATTCATATGATGTAGATACTATTATAGCTTCATTCCACAGATAAGGAAACTGAGACCCAGAGTAATAATTTGTCCAAAGTCACAGCTCAGAAGTGGAGGAGAAACCAGGCATGATGCAAACCCAAGCAGTCCAATGGCCTAGTGTGTACTCTAACCACAATGCTCCACTGCCTCGGTCTTCTGCAGCTGGGAGAAGATGGAATTCAGTGACCAGAGACGTGACTGGGATGAATCCAGCCTAAAAGTCGCACCCAGCGCTCACAAAACCCCAGGGCTGCAAAGGGAGAGCTACCCTGGGAGGACTCATTGTTCAAACTCCTGGTGTGGCCCAAATGGGAGTCCTTGAAAGACCTCCTCTTAGAAAGTTCTCCCTCTGGTCATTCCTGCTGCACGGTCATCCCAGTCCTGATGCCCTGGCCTTCCCAGGGAGAGCTTAACCTTGACTTTTCAAACTGCACATTTTGTCCCTCTACCTTGGCCCTCACTCATACTCCCAGTCTAACTCTTGCCATGTCCCTTTCTCCTCCCCCTGCTCTCTACTTCTATTCAAAATTTCTATGCTCTTGTGTAGTTGGGGGTCTCACATTTCCACAATGAGTAGGAAGTGTGAGTATGGAGAAATTTGAGTTCCAATATGTTTGTTTCTAGTTAGCCATGGGACCTACAATGGGTCACTCAACTTTTCATCCTTGATTTCCCCATCTGTAAGCTGGGACAATAATCACATTTATATCCACCTAAAGCACTGTTGTGAGAAATAAATGAGATGAATGTGTGGGAAGCACTTACCGTTATGCCTAGCAAAGAATCATAAATAACAATAAATTTGTTTTATTAACATATTAATAACAAATATTATTAGCAGTGTGATCGAGAAGGCAAAAAACGGTTTGATGAGGGACACTATTTCAGAGGGTGTGAGTCTGAGGGTCCACAGACAGTTTTCCCTTCCAGCAGGATGCCTGGTAGGGATGGCTTGCCCACTGGGATTGGAACTGGGAAGATACTTAGGATACATTGGGCAGGAGGCCAAGGGCACCTGTGCCACTAGCCTTGAGAAGGAGCTCAGGACTCCTACTTTATTCCCTTCACCAACCCCCTCTGCTTCTGGAAGGAATCTCTCATCACCTTGGAATTCTGAGGAACTCTGATAACTTTATGCACCTCGCTTACAGGATATCTATCTCAGATCATCAGAGGGGTTTGTTTTTTGTACGCATGCATCAGGTCTATTCAATGAGAAACTCCTTGAGGATGGGCACTACGTCTTAACAATGTTTACATCCCCACGCACACATGCACTTGGCCCTTGGTCGACTCCCTCAGTATCCCTGAGTGTTCCAGCTGGGAGACACCTTGAAAATCCTTCACTACAAGTCCTCACTTCCTGCCATCCCCAATTCTCATGTAACCCATGAGAAAGGTGAGGTGACCCATTCAAAAGAGCAGGAGATGAACAGAGGACCACGTTCATTTGTGAGAAGTCAGAGGTGATCCATAGAGAAGGGCCCCCCAGCGGGGGCTTGCTCTGTCAGGAAGACAAAGGCAGGAGCCCAAGGAGATATGGAGAGGAAGGGGGTGTGAAGGACCATTGTGAGGACCCTAAAGGCTTTGCAGGCGGAAGCCAGAATCCCTGGGCAGAGATGGGGATCCATTTGGCACCTATCACAGCATCACAAATCTGGGAAGAAGCTTAGAACCTATCAAGCCAAGGTGATTTCTCAAATGTCAGTAAGGATAAGGAAAAACTAACGTGTTTTGCCCACCATGACTTTCTTTTTCTTTTTTTTTTCAATATTGTTATCTCTACTGAACACAAGACACACAAACATTTGTCAGGACTGATTCCTGGGCCTTTCTAAAGAACTGAGCAGATGCAGGATGCATTCACACGTTCTCAGAACAAAGCAGGTACAAGGGACTCTGATCACAGAGCAGCCTGGGAGAATCACTGCACAGCTCCTAACCAGGTCACTGCCATCCCTCTCTGCCCTGCAGGGAGCAACTGTGGCCAGTAAGTCCCCTCCCTTCATAGAGTGTGGGTGTGGGCATCTGTACTCCAGAGCTTTCTTAGCTGTTGTCATCTCATGGGCCAGAGGCACCCATCAATGACCAGCCCTTATCTCTGCTTGGGGCTCCAGCCAGACTTTAAGCCCTTACTTATGGCAGATAGCCTCCCTTTATCTCAGTGCTTTAATTCCTCAGGCCCCAGGGAAATTCCCAGGACTCTAACAGCTTTCAGACAGACAGCTTGTTGGTTAAGCAGTTAGAAAAACAGGTTAGGATAATCGGTGGTCTCAGCCCTATTACCCTCCACTTTCCTTTAAAACAATAAAGGCCTCCCTCAGCCTTCCCTTCCTGTTTATTTTTTTCCACAGAAGAGTATCTATCTGTTCCATCTATTACGGAACATTCAGTGAAGGACCCGACTTAAAATCACAGTGGGGCAAACCAAGCCTTCTGCTGAGCAGAAGGGAGGCTGCTGTTCAGCCCACAGGACTCCCTGTCAGGACACCGTGTGTCTTTCCTTGTTGAACATCTTGCAAAATCGTTGCTTGATGTTCAGATCTCCCAGCTTAGCTGGTGTCTGAGGAGAGAGGATTTCTGCCTTGAAGAGGGAGTGAGCCCAGATGATTGTGGCTGAGACATCAAGACTCTGAGCTTCTAGGAAAGAAAGCAGTGCTCCAAGGAGGGATAAAACACATGCTCCAGCCCTTTCCACCATCTGAAGACAATCAGAGCTAGAACTGGTGCTGCTGGAAAAGAGAGAAGAGAGTTTGGCTGCAGGCTTGTGGCTTCCTTGGACTCCCCTGACAACAGCACCCTCTCTGCTCTGACCCCCAAACCCAGCTTCAGACTTCAGTGTCCAGCCCAGCCATAGTACAAGCCCTTCTCTCTGGATTATGGAACTCTTTCGGTCTCTGAAAAGAAACGATCAGGTGTGTTCCAGGCCCTCGGACTCCAGGCCCTGCATGTGACAACTATGATGATAAAAATGCTCAAAGCCTGGCAATAAGAAAACATTTTTGACCCTTCTGCTTTCCTCACATGAAACTGTTTTCCTAGTCTATATTTTCTTTGGATTAAATTCTGAGTACAAAACAGGCAGATACCTTGTTATTTCGGAATAATTTGTATCATGTGTAGGGAATGACTGGAAGATTAGTAGTGTGTTAGCCTAGGATCTCTGAGAAGCAGTTGACAAGACAGGATTTGCAGGAAATCTATTGGGGAAATGCCTGAGACAGGAAATGGGGAGGAAATAAAACAAGACTGGCAGAATAAGTGTGACCCAAGTAAAGGATGGAGGGAAGGGCGGTTGGATGGGTGGAAAAGTCTTAGATTGTGAATTTCTGAGGGAAATTCAGGGAGGCTGTTGGGGAATACTTGAGCCACAATCTACCCTCAGAGGAGTCCCGGTCTCCCAGGACCAGGCCTTTGCATCCTTGATGCAAGGCTAATAAGTCATGGCCAGGCAACCCACGGGCAGCATGACCTCTGTCTAAATGCCATGAGGAATTTCAGAGTGACACAGATGGGGCCCTCAGTCAATCAGCAGTATGAGATCCATGGGGTATATTCTCATGGTTTCCACAAGTACATTCTATAAAGTTGTCAGGGTGTTTTCAGCACTTACTAAGTGCTGAAGGAAAGCTACTAAAAGTAGCTGTCAGCCAGTGGGAAGGTGACCAGGCTTCCAATTTGCCTGTTAAGGATTTTGCCAGGGGTAGAGCAGGGGTGCTGATGGCTGTTATATTTCTGACTGCAGTGGAGGAAAATGCCCGTCTCCCAGAACTGACATGGGAGCTAGCTCAGGGTTGTCCAGCCTAAGAAACATGGACAAAAAAGAACAACCATCAGAAACCCTCATGAGTTTCTCAAATAGGTAAACATGGAGTTGCCATATGATCCAGCAATTCCACTCCTAGGTGTACACGCAATAGAAATGAAAGCATATGCTCACACACAAACTTGTATACAAGTGTTTATAGCATGCTTCTGTAAGCCAGTCAATCAGCAACAGCCACACTCTGGTTCACCATCCAACTCCTAAACTCCCCATGGCTGATCTTCACACCTTCCAGCACCTTATAGAAGATCACTCCCCTGCTCCACTCACTCAAAGACATTGCACCTAACAGGCATTGCTCTGCCTGCCTTAAAGTAAGTTATAGATTCAGCTTTTTGTTTCAGATATTGAGAGGTGGTCTTTTCCTTAGACACACAATATTCTGGTATATTGCCTTCTTTGGAGTAATTTATCCTCACTTGTAGTGCTATTGCTAGCCCCTATGGTGTTATTGGTGAATTAGGAAAAGTCCAACCTTTCTTCTAGACAAGGCCCCAGTGAAGACTGGATTTCATTTGGGGGTGGGGGTGGGGTTGGGGCTGCAATGTACCAAACTAAGACTACATTTCCCAGCCCCCTCTGCAGCTAAATTCAGCCAAATTACTAATTTCTGGCCAATCAGGTTAAGTGGAACTGATTAAGTGAATCTTAAAGGGGTGTGGCCTTTTGGCTCTCTTCCCTTCCTTTTTACTAAGTCTGGGCCCAGGCCTGGATTGTGAGTGTGATGATTGGAGCAAGAGGTGACACTGAAGATGGAAGTCACACAGCATGGAGGGTGGAGCAGAGCCGTAGAGGGAGCCCAGGATCCTGAAGACTTTGGAGCCACCATGCCAGCCTGGACTTCCCACCTACCTCCTTATTTCCTGGATGTGAAAGAATTAACCCTGTGTGTTTAAGCCATTGTAGCCAGGTCTCTGTTATAGCAGCTGAACACAATTCCTTACCAATACAGAGGTCCTGACCAGAATGGGGGGTTGAAGTGATAAGTGGGGAAAAGTTTAATTTTAGAGTAAGGATGAATTTTCGGGTATCAGGATTCCAGGTTAGAATCACGATCATGCTATTAATCTTCACCCAGACGCCCCTCTGCTAATCATGGATACCTACTGTCCCGTGAGAAAAAAGGGTGCCTTGGGGACAGTCTCCGCCTTTGAACAGGAGCACATCTGCCTTGCCCAGATTGTGGTCCTTTCTACACTGGGAAGGAAATGTGCTTTCTCTTTAACACACCACTTCATTTACTCATTGCCCTAGAATTACTCTAGGAAGCCAGCTCTTTCTGCCAAAAATTTTATGGCCAAATAGAATATTAATGTCCCAGAAACGGAGGGACACTTGGTCTTCTGCAGCAGTGATGAGCCAGGCATATTACTACGCATTGTGTGTGCATTAACTCATTTTAGCCTCAGAACAGCAGCCCAATTTTTAAATGAGGAAACTGTGGTTCAGAAATTCAGCCACCTGCCCCCAGTCACACCTAGACTGCAGCTCCAAATGCAGGCTTGCTGAAGTCCAAGCTTGGGCTTTAACACAGCTCTCGAAGTTAGGGAAACCCTCCAGAGCAGCTACAACTCCACTGCCTTGGTCATGATGGGCTGCCTAGGTTGATAAAGGCCTTCTCCCTTCCCCAGAGCTTGGG